AATAGGAAGTTGGTGGGTGGGAGGTTGCTTCCTCCCCCACTTCTCTCCCTCCCTATAAAATAAGAGTGGTGGATTTTGTTTAACTTTTAGGAGAGGAGAGAAGAGAAAGAGAATGACGACAAATAGGGTTTCATTGAATTAAATTGAAAAAAAGATACAAATCTAATAACCTATTTATACTACAATAATCTCAAATGATAATTGAAATAGAAAACCTAATTTAAATAACATAATCAAGGTTTTATATATATATATATATAATCTAATAATATAAGGGAAATTGTATTGGGTAGCTAAACTTTTATACATATTTACAAAAATGTCAACCACTTTTGTATTTTGCAAATATGGCAAAATATTTGAATTTTTATTCTCGAAATTTTTATTATTCCAGTTTTATCCTTATGATATCTGATATACATCAATAGATATGAGTAGATCATAGATGCATCAATGTTAGACATCAGTAGATATCATGGTTATAWCAATGGTAAATTAGAGATATATTAAGTATATATCATAGATGCATCGAAGTTATATTAGTGGTAAATCATATAATCATATGAGAAGTTATATTAATAGGTATCACAGTTATATCAGTGGTAAATTAAAGACATATCAAGTATATATCATAGATATATAAGTGTTATATCAGCATGGTAAATCAATGGTAAATAATATAGTCGTATAAGAACCTGTATCAGTAGAAATCATAGTTATATCATACGTATATCAGTGGTAAACCATATTAGAAGTTATATTGGTAGATATCATAGATATATAAGAAGTAAATCAGTGGTATATCAGTATTATATCAGTGGTATATCAAAGGTATATCAATAATATATTACACATATATTAGTGGTAAATCAATAAGTAGTAAATAATATAATCATATAAGAAGTTATATTAGTAGATATCATAGTTATATCAACGATATATCAATTGTATATCAGTAGTAAATCAGACGTATATCAAGTATATATCATATATATATATATATATATATCAGTGCTATATCAATGCTACGAGGGTAAATTTGACATTTTATTATTGGACCTCTGTTTTTCTAAAAATTTTGCTATATTTGTAAATTTAAAATGTAGATGCTAAATTTGTTATTTCCTTAAATTTTTTTGCCATATTTGTAACTGCCCCATAATATAATCTAACATCCCTTCTCAAACTCATGATGCTACAACTATAAGCATTGAGAGTTTGTCAGATAAAAAACGGAAGCGTGAAGTAGAGTGTGACTTGGTAAACATATCTGCAATCTGTAGAGAAGAAGGAATAAAAGGTAATGTGATGGTGTCATGCTGAAAATGATAATGAGTGACATGACAATCAATCTCAATATGCTTGGTTTGCTCATGAAAAACTAAATTGTATGTAATCCGAATGACACTTTGATTGTCACAATATAATAGAGTACGATGATGAAGATAGACGCCCATATCCGCAAGAAGCCAATGCAACCCAAACAATTTCGTAAGTAGTTGAGGCCATGGCACGATACTCAGCTTCTGTAGAAGACCGAGAAATAACATCTTGTTTCTTACTCTTCCACGAAATGAGTGAATCTCCAAGGAAAATACAAAATGTAGTGGTTGACTTGCAGTCAGTAGGATCACCAGCCCAATCAGCATCTGAGTAAGCACGCAAGTCTAAAGAGGACGTGGAGGGAACAACAGACTCTTAAATTGAGTGCCTCAAATATACTTCAGAATATGAGAACAGCAGCCAATGAACTGTAGTGGGAGCGGTGACAAACTAACTAACCACATGAACAGTGTGCACAATGTCTAGACAAGTCACAATAAGATAGACCAAGCTCCCAACAACAGTACGATATAAACTATAATCTGGCAAAGGAAAACCATCTGACAGAGAATATTGTGCATTTGGTTCAAGTGGAGTATCAACAATCCTATTGTCAGTGAGACGCACACGATAAAATAGATCGGCTATATACTTTGATTGAGATAAGAGATAACCTTTTGCAGAATGTGCAACCTCAATGCCGAGGAAGTAACACAGCCACCCAAGTATTTCATAGCAAGACAATGAGAGAGCTCAAATTTTACAGATTCTATTCCATCAAAATCATCACTAATGTCATCAACATACAAAGATAGCAAAATGCATCCTGCACCTGGACATTTTACAAACAATGCGGAATCATGATAGCTAGAGATAAAACCAAGCGAAGTGACCGCTGTGGAAAATTTCTCAAACCAAGCGCGAGGTGCTTGTTTGAGCCCATAAAGTGCTTTACGAAGCGTACAAACTTCATCGGGTTGGTGGGCGACACCAGGATGAGTCATATAAACTTCTTCATGAAGGTCACCATTCAAAAATTCATTCTTAACATCCATCTGATATATTTTCCATCTGTGAACAGAAGCTAGTGCAATMATAGTACGAACAGTCATCATTTTTGCAACAGTGGGAAATGTTTCTTCATAATCCATGCCATACTCTTGGGAGTAGCATTTAGCAACAAGTCGAGCCTTGTATTGTTCAATAGATCCATAAGAATTCATTTTGATCTTATATACCCAACGAGAGCCAATTGTATGTTCTCCAGATGGTAGAGGTACCAAATCTCATGTGTGAGTTTGATGTAGAGCAATAAGTTCCTCAGCCATRGCATTCTACCAAAGTGGATCACAAACAGCCTCTCTAAAGGACGAAGGTTCAGAGAGACAATGAACAGAAGTAACAAAGGAAGCAAAAGAACTAGAATAAGAAAAATAAGCAAAATCTAGTAGCTTAGTGGACTTACGAACACGAATGGACTGACGAAGCGGAGGAGCATCTGCAACCTCGGGAGATGATTGAGCGACCATAGAAAGCGAAGAATGAGATGTAGATGTCTCGACAACCAAGGTATCGATTATGCTGAGCTATCAATAGGAGTAGTTGGAACAGTTGGAGCAGTAGGTGAAGCTTCTTCGATGTTGGTATTGAAAGGGTCAATTTCAATCAGATCTGAATGTGTTAAATGATAAGAACTAGCAGGAATTGAGAAAAAAGGAATACGCTCTAAAAACACAACATGACGAGAGAAATACAATTTTTGACTAATTAGATCAAAACAACGATATCCTTTTTGACCAACACCATAACCCAAAAAAAGACATAAGGTTGACCTAGAAGACAATTTATTACACTCGACGTGTTGCCGAAGAACAAAACAAGTACAATAAAAAAAACACGAAATGAGGAATAATCAGACACATACCCGTACAACTTTTCAAATGGAGACAGACCTGCATTATGCAAGGTTGGAATTCTATTCATCACATGTGTGGCAGTAACAATCGCTTCCCCCCAAAACACACTAGGAACATCAGCTGACAATAAGAATGATCGAGCTATTTCAATGGGATGACGATGTTTTCTCTCATCAACACCATTTTGTTGAGGAGTGTCAATACAAGAGATTTGATGTAAAGTCTCATCCGAAGCAAGTAAATGGGAAAAGTTATTAGAAGTGTATTCACCCCCCAAATCACAACTAACACTTTATGAACACGGAATGTTGAGTTTTCACAAGAGCTTGAAAGTTGTTGAAAATACTAAGCAAGTCGCTCAATCCACACTAGAAGCCGCAACATTTGATACTTTGAGTCGATCTAAAACATAGGTCCCCCTTGCCTACGACCTATCCCAATCTCTTTTTGAGTTCGCGGATCCTATATGGAACAAGTGGAGGAAGAAATAAAAACTAAGTACCCAAATTGACATAATGGACTAACAGATATAAGATTTAAAGTAAGACTAGGAATATAATAAACATCAAAGAGAGAGACACAGAATGTGTGACAATTGAACCAACACCTACCAATGGTATAGGAGAGCCATCAGTAGTCACAATCGATACAGATGAATAGGAAGACAATCGATACAGATGAATAGGAAGACAGAGAAACAAAGGAGGACAAATTAAGAGACATATGATGAGAGACACCAGAACCTAATATCCATAAGGTAGATGATATACCTGAAGTATCAAATGATGACAAACCTTTAGAAGAGGAGGCAGACATAGCATGCGGCTGTGAAACTAAGATCTTAAATTGCTCAAGCATGTACAAATCCAAAGACGGGGCCACCAACAAATCATCTTTATGAATCAGCATGATAATAACTACTACACAAATCGAGCAAAATTAAATCAAATGTTCCAAATCAAAACCGAATTTAGTTTACCAAACTCAATTCACCAAATCCAGTCAAAACTTTTCGATATAAGTAAATTACACGTCAATGTCTAGTAATTCAAATTGTCCAACCAAGTGAAACGATTGCATTCACAATCCAACCAAATTAAATTCACAATCCACCGCCACAAATTTAATCAACCCAATTCAATCCAAAGCTACGAAATTCAATCCAAAAATTCACTCGATTAACCAATGCAATTTAATCCAAAATTCACCCAATTAGTTATCCRAATTCAATTCCTACGTTGCCGACACAGATCCACTCAAATCAAATTAAGAAAACAATACCTAATAATTTCTTCAAGCGACATTGCCGACACTCACGTGTTAAACCATGAAGTTTTATAATTAATCTGCATTTACTTTCTGCATTTACCTTCTACTTTGATGCTTTTAGTTTCTCTAGTAATGATTGGACACGTGTCCCTATGAACTTGTTGTTTTGTCATTCAAATACTGCTCATTTCTCCTAGGGTTTTTCACCAACACAGAATACACCTTTTCAGACCATTCTTCCCTTCTCTCTCTAACTTTTTATGGTATYAGAGCTTTTGGTTCAATGGCACAATACCCTTCTTCATCCTCCTCTCCCAACCTTCTTGCGGATTCTTCATTCTCAACCCCTTTATCACCTAGACCCASAAATGTCAATGTACGGTCGCCGTCGACACCCGTTACTACCGGACTGCCTCCACTACCGACGATGTTCCCTCCTACTCCTCCGCCATTTAACGGTGTTCCGCGTCCGCAATTCGGTATGTTCCAACAACCATCTATGCCTTCATTTCCTACTCAAGTTCCTACGTTTATGCCTACCTTTTTCCCAAATGTGTCTCATTCCCTCACGGTGAAGCTCACATATTCAAACTATTTATTGTGGAAAAATCAACTTCTAAATTTGGTTTATGCTTATGGACTTGTGGGATTTATCAATCGCACTATTCTTGCTCCACCAGAATTTGTTGACAATATTCACCATCAGGTAAATCTTGATTTTCTCACTTGGCAACAATGCAATAGAACAGTGATGTCGTGGCTGTATTCTTCCCTTACAGAGGAGAAAATGGGTGAGATAATTTCGTTCCCTACTGCCTTTGATATTTGGGAGTCATTACGAAAAGCATATGAATCAAAAGATTAAAGAAATTCAGCAAGTTAAGAAGGATGGTCTGTCTGTCTCCCAATATTTAGCAAAGATTAAAGAAATTACTGGTAAGTTGTCATCTATTGGTGAACCTATATCCCTCAAAGATCATATCTCATATATCATAGAAGGGCTTGGGATTGAATATAATGCTTTTGTTACCTCTATACAAAATCGTTCTGATATGYCGACTCTTGAGGATGTGCGTACTTTGTTACTTGCTTATGATTACAGACTTGAAAAACAAAATTCTGTGGACCAATTAAATGTAGTTCAAGCGAATGTGGCTAATCTCCAGTTGAATCGACAATCTGGCCATACCCGTAATCACAGAGTTCCCTCCCAACACAGTCCACGACCTTTTAATTTCAAAACTCAACCTGGCTTACTTGGAAAACCAAACCAAAATTCACAACCTCCATGGCCTCCTAGTCAACAGTCTCCGAGAAATCCCAAAGTCCAATGTCAGATTTGCTTTAAGCTTGGCCATACAACTTCCAAATGTTATCATAGAGCCAACCTTCAATATAAGCTCAATTTCTTTCCCACCAACCAGCCAAACCCTCATGCCTTATTTCATCATGTTAATTCTTCTAGTTCCCAGTTCCAACAATCCAATCCTACAGCTAATGTGCCTCCTACACCAAACCCTTTTTCCTTTCCCAATCTCATTGTTATACCCGATGACTTATGGTATATGGATTCTGGTGCCACTCACCACATCTCTCATGACATTAATTCTCTGTTTAATCTCATGYCATACACTGGGGGTGAGCAAGTTACCGTAGGTGATGGTAAGCATATTCCTATTTCTCACATTGGTCATTCACTTTTAAATTCTACTTCTAAATTCCCCATTCATCTCTCTCAAGTCTTATATACTCCTCATATTTCTCATAAATTAATAAGCATTTCTAAATTATGTTATGATAACAAAGCCTCCGTTGAATTTTATCCAACTTTTTTTGTTGTGAAGGATCTCAATTCTCGRACTATTCTACTACGGGGAATCCTTGATGGTGGGCTTTACAAATTTCAACCCAACTCWTCTTCACATACGGTCTCTCCTTCAACTTTGCAACCTGTTGCCACCTTTATTTCCTCCACAACTACTTCCCTTTGGCATTTTTGTTTAGGACATCTGGCACATACAATCGTTAGACAAGTTTTGTCCTCATGTAACATTGATTCCTCTAAAATCAATGAGTCTAGCGTCTGTATTTCTTGTCAAAAAGCAAAGAGCCATAGGCTCCCTTTCTCTTTAAGCAATACGCAAACTACAACACCTTTTGAACTTTTTCATTCTGACCTTTGGGGTCCTTCCCCAATTAATGCTATCAGTGGTGTTCGTTATTTTTCTTTGTTTATTGATGATTTTACTCGATCCACTTGGCTTTACCTACTTAAAACAAAAGATCAAGTTCTCCCTTTATTTTTGCAATTCAAGACCATGATTCAAAACCAGTTTCATTATGATATCAAAACTATTCAAACTGATTGKGGTGGAGAGTTTCGATCTCTTTCGTCTTTTTTAGCTCAATATGGAATCCTTCATAGGGTGTCTTGTCCATACACTCCCCAACAAAATGGCAAAGTTGAAAGGAAAAATCGTCATGTTGTCGAGGTTGGTTTATCTATTTTAGCTCATGCATCCCTTCCTCTTTYATTTTGGCCTTTTGCATTCCAAACTGCAGTTTATCTAATTAATCGTCTTCCTACCCCAATTTTGTCCGATCGAACCCCTTATACTTTACTATACAACTCCAATCCAGATTATAGCATTTTGCGCGTGTTTGGGTGCTCGTGCTTTCCTTTTCTCCGTCCTTATAATAAACACAAGTTTCAATTTCGGTCAACTGAATGCATCTTCCTTGGCTTCAGTTCTAATCATAAGGGTTATTTATGTTTGGATTATGCTACTGGTCGCTTATATGTTTCCCGCCACGTTGTATTTAATGAAAATCACTTTCCTTTCTCTAATAATATTTCTCTCATTTCTAATCTTAAATCACATCATCCAGATACCTTCATGTCTCCCCCATGCTTAAACTCTTCTCTCACTTTGCCTTCACTTGCTCATCCCCTAATGCAAGAACAACCCCCACATGGCCTTACTGACTAATGCAAGAACAACCCCCACATGGCCTTACTGACTTTTCACATGGTCATGTCACTTCCACAATTAATGCAACCACACCCATCTTATCTCCCCTTTCTTTCCCTTCCCCAACGGCTACCTCTTTCTCTTCTTCCTCACCATCTAACATATCCCCTTCTCCCTTGCTTTCAAACTCCCTACCATCGCCACYCAYAACATCTACCCCTTCTTCTCTAGCTACTTCTTCKGTACGTTCCACTTRCCCATCATCCTCTCCATCTCCATCATTCCATGCGTCACCCATTCTGATCCCTCACCYAATTCCAATCATCCCCAACCAGCATCCTATGATAACTCGTTCAAAAGATGACATCTTCAAACCCAAAGCATGGTCGGTTACTTTACCACCTCTACTCGATCCATGTCTCTTTGAACCCACCTCTTATATGAAAGCTTTGGATTGTACGGAGTGGAAATCTGCCATGGAATCTAAGATCAAGGCTTTACATAATCATAATACTTCGAGTCTTGTTCCTCCTCCGATCAGTTGCAAACCAGTGGCCTGCAAATGGGTTTTTCGACTTAAACTAACACCATCTGGTGCAATCGAGCGTCATAAGGCACGTTTGGTGGCAAAAGGGTTCAATCAGACCTTTGGGATTGATTATTTTGACACTTTTTAGTCCAGTTGTGAAGCCCGCCACGATTCGAATTGTACTCTCTTGCTGTGAATTTTCGATGGTCCATTCGTCAGTTAGATGTTCACAACGCCTTCTTAAATGGCGATTTACATGAAGAGGTATCTATGGATCAACCTCCGGGGTTCATCGACAAGGAGCATCCTCGGTATGTCTGTCGTTTAAATAAGGCTTTATATGGTCTCAAACAAAGTCCTCGAGCATGGTTCTTAAAACTTAGTTCATGTTTACTCGAATGGGGATTTTCAGYGTCCAAGTYAGATACTTCCATGTTTTTCTTTCGTTCATCCACTGTCATTTTGCTTGTTCTAGTGTATGTTGACGATGTAATTGTCGCTGGCAATCAAGATGATTTACTGACATCTCTCGTGGAAAGTTTAAACAGGAAATTTTCTTTGAAAGATTTGGGACCTTTGTATTAATTTTTGGGTATTAAAGTGGCTACTACTGTCTCTGGTCTTCATTTGTCACAACACCAATATATTATGGATCTCCTTAATCGTGTGGATATGGCTGATTGTAAACCTTTGCCAATGCCTATGGCTTCGGGTGTGTCTTTGTCTTTGTCTAATGGTGTGCTATTGCCCAATCCCACAGAGTACCGGAGTAACGTGGGARCACTACAATATTGTACCATCACTAGACCAGATTTATCATTTGCTGTTAATAAGGTTTGYCAGTTCCTTCATGCCCTAACTACTATCCACTGGACTGCTGTCAAAAGGATTKTGAGGTATCTCAAGGGTACATTGAGTCATGGTCTGTCTATCGTGCTCTCCTCCTTGACTCTAACTTGTTATACAGATGCAGATTGGGCGAGTGGCTATTGTACATATTTGGGTCATAATTTAATCTCATCGTCCTCCTCCAAACAAAAAACAGTGTCTCGTTCTAGTGCTGAATCGAAATATCGAGGTCTTGCTAATGCAGCTGCTGAAATTTTTTGGGTAGTATATGWMCTTAAGGAGCTTGATTTTCTTCTTAGCCATCCGCCASTACTCTTATGTGATAACATTAGTGMTACTTACTTGGCTGYGAATCCAGTTATGCATCAACGAACTAAACATGTGGAAATTGATCACCATTTTGTTCGTGAGCRAATTCTKAATCGTCAGCTGATTGTTAAGCACGTGACTTCTGAAGGTCAAGTTGCTGATATCATGACAAAAGGCCTACCTACTGGTCGTTTTCAAGGACTTCGTACCAAGCTCACACTTGTTCCTACACTGTTGGGCTTGCGGGGGGATGTTAAACCATGAAGTTTTATAATTAATCTGCATTTACCTTCTACTTTTATRCTTTTAGTTTCTCTAGTAATGACTGGACACGTCCCTATGAGCTTGTTGTTTTGTCATTTAAATACTGTTCATTTCTCCTAGGGTTTTTCACCAATACAGAATACACCTTTTTCAGACCATTCTTCCGTTCTCTCTCTAACTTTTTAGGATGGTAATTTTCTGTCGGAAAAACTCTAATTATGCAATAAAATCCATTTACAATCCACTTTTGGAGTCTCTTATGCCATGTTAACTTTTAGGAAAGGAGAGAAAAAGAGAGAGAATGACAAAGAGGGGTTCATTGAATTATATTAAAAAAAAAAAATACCAAACCTAATAACCTATTTATACTAAAATTATCTCAAATCATAATTCAAATAGAAAACCTAATTCAAATAATATAATGAAAGCTATATATACATAATCTAATAATATAATCTAACAGAACACTCTCTTTGAAATAGCTCTCTCAYGAAAACCAAAYTTCCTCACTTTCAAAAGACGAGTCTCATAAGCCAGTCCTTACCAAAAGAATAGCGGGAAAGGCTAGTGTTGGTGTTATTGTTGAAGAACGGTCTTCAAAGATAGTGTATCTTTCCTTATTTGTTTTTCTTTGTAGTTCTTGTTGGGATAAACACTTAAATTTATGGATCAATTATCCCCTCTTGTGTGAACCTAATAGGAAATAGCAAGTAAAAATAATAATTTGAGTAAAAAACCACAGATCGAAGTCAAAATCTCCAATATAATCAATAATGGGTACACCAAGTTCTCCGTAGCAACAACTAGAGGTATCCAATAATAATATCTCGAGACAATAAATCTTGGCAAACAAAGGGAATAAATCGGCAACTACCCACTGTATCTGACTCTAGGCAGCTCCAAAAGAAATCTCCACCTTCCAGATTGAAGACCCTCGTGTTACGAACACGCTGTCAAAATTTCACCTCGATCGGATCATGGATGGACATCCGATCGTGCAAAAATGTTACTCTATGGAATGAATTTCTTTTCCCTTTTTCTTTTCTGTTTTCTCTCCTTGATTTTAATGCATAGACTTTTCCCTCTCTCTCCTCAATGTGGTTGACCGGTTGCACCTTAATAATAATAATATATATATATATACAACCTTAAATATAATGGCCCATTTRGGCCTAAAATTGTTGGGCTTTCACACATGTGAAAAATACCCAACAGTTCTTTCTAAAATAAAATCAAAGCACAAGCGTTCACGCGGTTCCGCTACGGGATTCAATCCCTTTAATTTGGACCATGYTAGCCACCTTTACGAGGAACACCACCTGATTCACTATTTCTGACATTAAAATGTCCTTCTTCCACATCAGGATGTAAGGAATTATCAGCCGCCGCGTTGACTCTTCTTCTATAAACATTAGAAAGAAGATATACATCTTCAATAGTATGATGAAAAYAACTAGAATCAATAGACCAATATGCACTATAATCAAAAGAAGCATTAGTACAACAATTGATATAGTTTGATCAGTAACTTCAATTGATAAACGATGTTCCCAATTGAGTTTCAGGCTTGTTAATTTCCTGTACATGCTTCTTTAAGTTTCACTCGACAATTTTGTTTAATGTAGTCTAGTTTCCCACATCGRCTACATATCATTTTTACCCGACAATCATGTTTGATATGTTCTAGCTTTCCGCACCTAAAACATCYTTTCGAATTACCTTTGGACTACCTTTCATTTCCGGAATGCTTACTATCATCTAAAGAACATTCGGAAACATAACTTTTCTACTTTGTCTCTTATATAAAGAATACCTTCTACCTCGGGAGAAGACTGCTTCTTGTCACCAACCATTTGTTGCACCAAGGTTTCCTATTTGATAACAAATTTTCCAACTCAATGAGGAAGGTTGATTTACCTAACCTTGTATCGAAGAAATAAACKGCATAAATTCCTTTCGCAGTCCACGAATAWGATATCGACGCAAACGGGCATTACCAATGGGCTTCTCTTTGTCCAATTCTGAAATTTCATAACATAAAGTTTTAACTTTTAGAAAATATTCTGAAACTGATAAATTACGTTGAGCTTTTCCAGCAAGTTCATTTTCTAAAAATGGCAACCTCATCGTGTTCTTCTAAGTGAACAACCTTTCAAGTGTATCCCACACTTGCTTTGGAGAATCTACATCACAAACATGCTCAATATACTCAATAGAAGTTCGCAAAGCAAATAGAGATTTGTCACATTTGATCTTCCACTTTGTTTGTACCTCAACATTTATGGAGTATATCATATGAAACTAC